GCCCCCCCGCCGCTCCCGGGGCGCTCCGTAACGCCGCCCCGCTGCCGGCGCCACCAGATCCGGTGACGCGCAGCCCTCCCCCGGGCCAGCCCCCGTGCCGGAGAGGGGCGAGCGGGCGGTGAGGCGGGAGCCGCTTCCCACGGGCAGCGGGAGGGTGAGCTGGGACCACCGGGAGAGCGCGACCTCCGGTGCGCAGGGACAGCGCGGTGCCGGGCGCGGCGCTGGAGCTGCCGAGCCGCCCGGGGGAGGCGGTGTTTCCCCGGGCGGCGGGAGAGCCCGCTCGCCCGGAGTCCGCGGAGCTCTCACCGGTCCTAGGGAGCTGCGGCTGCCCGCTCACCCCGTGCCCGGCAGGAAAGTTATCCGCCCCCCTGCTACCTCACTCAGCCTCCGCTTTTGCTCAGCTGCCAGCTGTGTGACTGACTGGGTTTCGGATGGCCGCTCGCCAGAGGGAACGTAATCAACCCCCCATGTAGGGAAGAAATTTGGTGCCGGTTCTATCACTTTGCCCGGCTGGCTTGGCGCCGCTGCCTTCTCGCCGCCCCGTGTCCCAGCCTCTAACCCAGAGCACGGCTCTGCGGCGACCACCGCCACCGGCGCACAGCCAGCGCCGCTCTTCCGGGCTGCCTCGGACAAGGAGCGGGCCCAAAGGGAGCCAAAGGGGTGAGGGACAAGCTGTCCTGTGCCTCGCGAAAGCCCTGCGTGCTCCTGGCCCTCCTGTTCCGCACGTTCGTGCTTCCAGCAGCGCGCACGGCGCCCTGCCGGAGATGCCCCGCAGGCACGGCCCTCCCCGTCGGACGGCGCTGCAATGACACGCTCTAACGCAGCTATCAGTCACTTACACAGGCACACCCAGATATATAATGCATAGATATGTATGTACTCGTATCAACACACCCCTGTACGCACAGGCGGCCGCCGCGGGGAAGCCGCATCTCCCCGCGGACGGGGCCGCCAGAAGTCGACTTGCCACGGCGAAGTCAGGAGGAGAATTAACGCAGCAGGAAAAAGCAGCAGGAGAAAGAGCCCGAGGGGAGCCGCCACCGGAGCCGCCTCTCGGCACCGCTGTCCGCCGCGCTGGCAGCGGGCTCCCCGCCGCGGTGCCGGCAGCCGGGCTCGCCGCCCGCCGGCGCTGCGGAGCGCTGCGGGCAGGGAATCCCTCTGCGCCTCCCGGCTGGGGGAGAGCCCGGCTGTGGTGGGGCTTTTGCTACATTGAGAGCAGCAGTGGTCTCACCCTCACGCTCTGGGACCCCTTCTCCTCTTGGGAATGTTTTTCTGCAGTTAGGCTGAGGATGTCAGGGAGGGTGGTGACAAAAGTTCGCTAAAAAGGAGATTGAGCTTTAGCTTTGCTTTTCTGTAGGTCCTCCGACAGCCCTTTTCCCTTCAACTTCTTTAGGCTTCTTGTAATGAAAAGTGGTTTTCACGGGCATCTTACAGTTAAAGGCTTTTCTTCAACCAAACTGGCACAAACAAAAATGTTTCTTTTCGCTGTGCACTGTTTTTAGAAATATTACCTTCAATAATGTGCAGTGAGCTATTGAGTGGGGAAAGGATTTAAAGAGACAGCTTCATGCAAGTTAAATGCAAAGCTAAGAGAGTTGCTCCGAAGAATGAAGCTAATTGTTGGGTTGATAAATGCATTAGAAAATGAAGTGATAAGTTTCATTCCTAATTGAACAGATTTGTACTTCAGTTCTCATCTTGAGGTCTTTATCTTTCATTTTTTCTTAGTATTGAATTGATGTCAACAGTTCTTGATAGCTAGAAGCTAACCAAGCTATTTGTCCTGTTGTGGCTGTATTGAAAGATTGAATCATTTGAACTGATAGTTCTCCTGACAAGACTGAAAAAATTAAATTATTAAAACGGTACATATATGAGAGCTGGGATGATTGAAATACATGTCTGAAAATTGAAATAAGTGAAATGTAATAAACCAAAAACTAATCAAAGAAGTGAAGTGGAACTGTAACCTTCTTTTCTCATGCCCTGCTGACAAAGTCAACACCCAAGAGAGAAGTTTTTAAACAAAGTGGAAACAAATAATATTTTATGATCTTTTAGTCACTTTGTCTAGAGTCAGTCCCACACTGAAATTCCAACAGGGGCAACCTCCTTAGTTTTCACTATCAAAGTCACCTATAGATTAATCAATACATATCCTGTTCCTCCATCTGTAGGGAGATTTGTCATCTTTCTGGATACCTCCCATGTCATTCTTTGTGGGGTGATGAAGAGCTCAAGCAAGAAAGAAAGTTTCATTTCACAAGAGGAAGCTGTTCTATTTTAGTACAGTGTCTTTCAAACTATTCCTACATTTATTAAAATGCATGTATGTTGCAAGTTTCATTACCACTAAGAATATGCTGAAGATGAAGGCAGATGAAAAAGTGTACAGTGTTTTTTATAATTATCAACCACATTGTATGAACTAAGTGTGCTCTCCAGTTTTACACACAATTACGTTTGTTTTGTATTTTTGCTTCAGGTAGCACAAACACAACGTAAGATTTTTACATATACAGAAATCAGATGTCAGGTAAACTTAAGGTGTAGTCAACAACATGAAACAACATTTATAGTCAGACCGGGTGAGCCAGAATTATTTTTGTGTAGTATGAACTATGTTAACTAAGAAATTTCACATAATAAGCTGATGGTAGATTGGCGTCTGTTTTAGATTCTTCAGCTTCAGCAGCCTGGCAGCACTCAAGGCTCCAACAAGGATGGAGTGACAAAGGAGGAACAGCATTAAAAGCTGAAGAAATGGAGGCTAAGCACGAAGATAAATTGTCATTGTTTAAAAAATATGAGAATGAAAGGAAGAATTTTACCCACCAAGCAAGTGAGTGACACTCTTGGTAAAACTGTATTGACTACCTATCTGCAAGGGATCATTTTTCTTCTTTTCTCTTTGCAAAATTACTACAGCATCCATTTTTTTTCTTCTGAATGTATAGCTCACTTTGGTTGTGGGCAGGGATTTTGACATTTGGGAGCCAAACCCTTGTGCGCATGTCTGTCACACATAGGCCTCACTCTGAAAGTGCTGGGAAATAAAGGGCAGAGAACTCAGGCTTTGAAAAAGTGCATGGGAAAAGAAACTACCAGTTGTAGTGGGCAAGTAACAAGAACATATATAAGAAAGCTCTTAAGATGCTTTGGGAAATAGTATTTTTTGTCCAACATCACTGCAACATTAGATTTTCCATTCCTGTAGCACATCCTGCCATCTCTGGGAACACATCATGGCTGATAGGTTATTAATTGATTCTGTGAGAATAGAATTAATCTATTTTCAATATTCACTTTCGGAAAAGATAGCAGTCAGAGTAGCAAATGTAACACCATCAAGGACAGGTGTCACACTTGATAGAAAGTGGATCACAAGATCATCTATACGCTCCTTGGTACTTGCTATATCAAGGTATAAATGAGGAGTACATTCCCAATTTCTGATTATATAATTTTGTTTTTTATTTCCATTCACAGACTGATAATAAACCACAAAACTATGTCCAAAAAAGTCTGTGAACATATTCCCTCTTTTTTCCCCAACAATTAGTCTAAACTAAGCTTCACAAAAATACTCCATTTACCGGTATCTGGCACCCTTCTGAAAATAATGTGTCATTTGTCACCATGGCTTGTAATCTGAAAATATGACTGGGGAACTGATGGAGACCAAAATAGCCTTTTACAGTCTGTAGGTGGCCAAAAAATTCTCCAGTTATATTCCGTAAAATTCCTTGCTGCCGTGATTTGTTTCTCAAGAGCTCTTGTCAATCCACTTAAAACTTTCACTTACATGGGCCCAAAAAGAAACAAGGGGATTTGTTCAAATTGTAACCAAATATAGTTATACATTAAAATTCCTCTTTTCACATGTAAAAAGGATATTAGCAATTCCATAAATTCTACACAAATTTTTACTTTGAAATTCTGGGTTTTTAAAATCATCTTGAGGCTTGGAGAATTTAAAGCCTTGAAACCTAACAGCAGAGAATCTCAAGCAAAACTGGGAAATTCATAGTCTTAATACATCCCTTAATCTTAAATTTTACACGCAGCCTGTATATCATGTTCAGTACTGTTATTATTTATGGTAGTCTATAAATGGCTTGCATCTCATTAATGAGTACTTTTAACTTAGAAGAGAATTTGGATAAAATTTTAACAAAGGATTGCAACTAGTCTCAAGGAAGTTATCAGCATTATCTGCCTTAGTAATTAATGTATTAAAATCAACTATTACAAATCAAAAGAGACAAGTACCAAATCATAGGCTATAAATAATAGGACTTAAGAAAATTATTGATTATATTTTTCTGTTTCATTTTCAACCAAAAAAATTATCTTTTATTTCTCACAATTATCCTATTTCTTCACCAAAAGGAGATAAAATTCCCCTATGTGCATTTAAAAATCAATTGTACACATTTCAAAGTTTGAATTTTTTTTTTTTTCCATTTGGAAGAAAAATAACTCATAAAAATATAATTTGAAAACAACTAACATACGTTCTGTAGGATTTATGAGTCCCCATAAGAAAACTAAAATATAAAATATTACTAAGGATGGGGAAGGATTTATTTCTTCGTAATTTTTGAAGGGATAGTTAAAAGATGAGACAGTGTAATTCAA